TTCTTTAGAAATAGGTCTGTATAAACTTGGTTTCTCCTTTGGGGATGAAGCAGGTTCTGGTTTATATATTCTAGCTTTTAAACCTAGTATTGTGATATACACAATGTTTACAATATTAGGTTTGTATTAAATATGGACCCCACTATTTAGAGCCCTTGGAACAGTATCCAAAGCCCTCTTTCAGGTTGGACCCAAGGCTACAAACAAATCAGGCGCCCCATTTCCAAGAAGGGGCTCCACAAGGGGCTCCATTTATTTATTTAATCTCATCATTTCTCTATCCTCATCATGTGCCCACCCATGATCTTAATCAATAAACATTGAATTGCTGAGATAGTCACCATTGAGCAAGCCTCGCTCTCTTGATCACCTTCCGGTCGACTCAAGCTCGTTGAATAAGTTTCTGACCAATTTTTCATACATCTGATTGCAATTGAGATCAAAGTTCAAGTTGAGAATGAGATCACTTTGAACAGAGCACTTTGAGATCACTGACCTCTTGGTCAGCTATTGCATGAGCTTGTAAGTCATTAACCGCCAATTCTTGTAAAAGACTAGCATTGGCTTCGTTCTTACGAAGACAACGTTGTTTGTGAACTTTGACACCTCTAGAGGTAACAAAGACATGACAATACGTACAACACATATCTTTATAAGGAGCCCGATGTGGTTGTTTTTGATCTTCATGATGAAAAGGAGAAGGGAAATTGATTGAAGGTTCATGACTAGGAAGATGAGAACAACTACTACTCTCAATTGAACTGTCAGTAATGTTAGAAGTATGGTTGAGTAAACTTTTGGGAGTGTTAGCTAAGATTAAATGGTGATCACTTTAGTAGTAGTAGTAGTAGTAGTAGCAGTAGCAGTAGTAGTAGAAGTGTCCAGGTGAATAATTCAATTGATCGAATTGATTGAGTGAAAAGGTAATGGGTGGTGGTGGTGGAAACTTGATGTGATTAGAAGGAGAACATTGAAAATCTTGAATCGAGTTTGTAAGTGTGAGGGAGAGATGAGAACTTCTATATGTAAGTGTATCGCTGGGCACTTGAAGGGCCAATGTTGTCCGTCATGCAAGGGTTGGTCCGGGCGCCAAACAATTTGGGAGCCCTTGCATTTGTTTTCATCATATTTGTTGCCCCATCAATGATGAAGGGGCTCCAAATACGTCAATTGACAATCCAAAAGGGGCTCATTTGTGATTTTGTGCCCTATTAGGGAGCCCTCAAGGAGCCCTTGAGGTCCGAACATGTGTTATATAGGCTAAAAAAGTGGGGTATCAACAGGTCACGCGGGTTTTAGTGAAAACCCGGGGGGCTCCGGATATCAGCCGAGGGGGCTCTAAATAGTGGGATCCTTTAATATTTTAATGTTTTTATGATTACGTACACTTAATGTTATGTTATGTAATCATTAAGTGTTTCATATAAGATAAGCCTGTTTTAACTCTTGATACTGAGTTACAAGATGTTACTAGTGTTTTTGTATGTAATTTTAAATGCTACATGTCATTTCTTGGGTATATGCATATGTAACTAGAGGTCATATATGTTTTTCTTACATGTTACATATATATTATAGGCTGTATGTACATGTAATTATATTTCTAGGTGATGGTTATATGTCATAGGTTAGCATTTGGGTACATCTGTATGTACTCAGGGCTGACACATACAGCCATTTCGAGCAAAATTGTCAACAAAATCAAAGGTTCCACCTACCTCAACAAAGCTATGAGCAATCTGAAAACCAAGGGCAGGCACATTTTCACCCTTGCTGGTCAGTTAGGCAACGTTGAGGTTGAGCAACCCGGATAGTCAGTATGACTTTTGTTTCTGCTATCATTTATTTGATGTTTTGTGGAAAAAATGTAATAACTAATGTTTACTGCTGTTCAAATGTCCCAGTTACGGATATCAAGCATATGAGATCATCATTCAAACTCTAGAGTCCATTTTCTTGAAAGATCAAACTTCATACAATCATCTCAGTTGTAAAAGGCAGCCCCTCTCAACCAAGATTTTTACCTACAACAGGTCCTTATTCCAGAACTCAGTCTCTGCTTAATTTCCACCAATCTCCACTTAGAACCAAAGGACCCACTGGTACGATCAACACTTGAAGACAGTTGGGCTTTTGGCTCTGCAGTTTTTCCAGTAGAGACAGAATCTTTGGCATCATCTAACAGTTTACCGGACACACACATTACTACATCAAAAACATTGCAAAAGAATGCAACAAGTATTGAAACAACTACCCAATACCATAGTTCCTTACATCAAGTCGGTATTTAGTCCACCACCATATGGGAATTGTGGTTACCTTGCCATAGCTCATTCAATCAACGTATATCACAATGATGCTTATGTTTTAGTTCACCAACAATTACTTGAGGAGCTTATATCAAACAAGGACACACATGAAACCCTTATCACTACTCCAAGTATGCGCACTCGGACTCACCGTTTGGGGAACACCTTTGCCTCTGAAGTCGTAACCAATCTCCTGAATCAGCTTCAACCGCAGGGGCCAACATGCTCTGAAGACTTCTGGATGTGTATCCCTTATTTAGGCTATGTCATTGCCAGTGCCTATGACTTCCCTTTGGTTGTTTTTGATTGTCTCAAAAGCAACTGCTACAGTTTTTTACCTTATTGCACACAGCCGAACGATAAAAACCCAATAGTCCTTGCATTCGTGAATGCCAATCACTTTGTCGGTTTGGGCTGCGGGTCACAATCAATTCCTTTCCCACCATTATACTGCCCCCTCTCAGAAGTTATTGAGACCTTGCAAATGCCTCAATGCATTAAGCAATATCAATCTCAGATGGACTTGTGGCAAAATCGACGCAACCTTGATGAATGATCTGTAGTAGCCTGTGTAATCTTGTTTTCACCACCCTTGTTTGGCAGGTTTTTTATCTTTCTTTCTCTTGTACTTCTTTCTCTACCATCGTTTGGCGCATTATCATTTGTAATCTCAATTCTACTCCTGTTGGTTCGGGTGTATTGTATGCTATTATGCTATGCTATGTATGTTCGCTCCTTCTATTTTATGCTTCTGTGCATGTGCAATTTATGAATTTATGTGTATGCCCTTTAAAATGCATTGGTGAACAACAAGAGAGAGAGAACAAATGACAATTGGATTTTTGAAAAAGTCGGCTTCAATCAAGAAAGAGAAAAAAAACATTTATCAACTTTGAGTTGAAGCGCCCCAGGTGTAGCCCTTTTTTTTGGGGGGAGTCATTCTTCTGTGTGCCCGGTGTCCGGACCCGCCTCCGGGCTGCGGACTTTTACCCGCGGGCTCAAAATAGTGGGATCCTAAAGTTTAAAGTAATTATGTCACATATCACTCTATTTTTGTCTTTTGGTCAATTTTTGGTAACTCATTCAAACTATCATTTAGTTATAGAATAGAATGAGTATTGCTTAGCATATTCTTAAAAGACTGAGTATGCCATTGCTGACTTGTGACCCAGCGTTCATCTGCAATCAAATTGCTCCACTTTCACCTTTTACTATTGTCACCCGATGTGATCCAGTTCCAATCTGATCCGAGTCTATGCAACCACTAAGAGAGAGATTTCCAACCTTTTGGAAGACGACTTTGGCTTACAATTTATATTGAGACAGTAGACTATACTCACCCGCAGAAATCTGACTAGCCAACTGGTTTGATGTTGAGAAAAAGCATGACGGAGAGGACAGAGTGATGGAGCAAGAAAAAAAATAGCAGGTCATGTGTTCAAGACATCGCCCACCATCAGTCCCCAACGTGATTTGAACACGTGACCTGCCGCTATGCAGCTGCATACACTGCAGGCGGCCGCTCTAAACCACTGAGCTATGGAGACCTCGACGCTAATTTTTTTGGGTTTCGGGTATTCAATCGTATGACTCTCCTTCTCGGCATCGTTAGAGTACATTTAATCCCAAATCTCTGATGTTGCTTCATGGGTATACCAAATCTATTGATGTGCGTAGGATTCAGGTTACAATATGAGAAGGAAAGACATCATTTTCTTGACATGTTTGTGTGTTTTTGTTTCATGTGTGTTTAGTTGGATGCAAGTTATCCAAGTCCCTCCCGCAAGACTACTTTGATAGGATTAAAAGATGGATGAGAATTTTTCTCAAGCCTGAAGGCTACTTCAAAGTCCATTACTTGAAAGGAACGGAAAAAAATCGGTAAAGCATGGGTTAAACTTGGAATGCCTAGTTATTGCAGCAAGTTTTATGGCATATTCTCCAACTGATTTTATCATTGGTTCACCAAAAGAAACTTGATTAAGGGAACTTTTACTGAGCCTCAGGCAAGAGAATTTGGAACCATCAAGCAGAAAAAATGAGTTGATCATGTGGTTAAATCATTTACCCTTGTTCAAATTCTCCTGGAGTTTGAAATGATTTCATGGCTTGGAAAAATGTAAACCAACTGTTCACTTTTACTCACAGGATTTTCTTTGATTGAAAAGTGATGGTCACGAACCCATCAACCTTCAAAACGGGATCATTTTCTAGATTGCAGTTCATGGATCCCTTTTTTCGATCTCTTGATTTGTTTAGATAACTCTTTCCAATTATTCTTCATCCCTTTGGTCTCTCGTGTAACACTGATGTGAACTCGTGAAAGTGTTCATCAGACAACAACGTGAAGATGAACAAAGTGAGATCTAGGACCAGACTCAACCTCAAAATGTCTCACTCCAACTAATTTCAAATCATATATAAAAAGACAGAGTCCTGACGACAAAAAGAAACGTAACTAACAAACAACCAAAATTCAAGATGGCCATCACTACCCATATAATTATAACTATCATACTCTCACTATCCTACTACTACTATGAATACCACTATCAATCAAAAACAATTCTTCCTCCATCAAAATCGAAAACTCTTGGACCTTGGTATAATGATACACTTGAGGAAGATGATCCATTTGAACCTCATAAACCAATTCATCATCATGGTCAACCTCCGATCCGAATTCTCTTCATGAGTACTGTTCAAGGTACGTTTTGAGCATTCCAATCTTACTCTCATTTTGACGATTCTGATGTAATTCTGTTCTGATATCAGATTCAGTGACTCGAATGGATACCTTTCTTTACGAATTATATGGTAATTTTATCCATACTTTACTTCAATCCATAATCTAACCCGAAGCCTTTATATACTTCTTTGGATTGCGTTCATTTAGAAGCAGCAAAATATAGACACCCAAATATAGAACCATATTTTTGGGGACCAGGTTATAAAGGGTATTATCAGCCAGATACAATGTCATCTAATATCAATCGAGTCTTTGGTTGTGGTTATTTTTCGATCGTTTTTTTACATTCAGGTTCACCTGAAATTCAAGATGAATTTGATCAAGCTACTCATTCTTTAAGTTGTGGTACCCTTTTGTTTGTTAAAGCAGGTGATTGTAATAACAATCAATGTCTTTGGGAAGCCAATCTTTTACATGCTAATGTGACTATGGTCAGGTTAGTAATTTCTTAGCTTGAATTGGGAGAGCGGTTGAAAAAAATTGTTGATTGTGTTGACAATTTTTTTGGTCTTTCTGAAGGTATGCTCATGAAGCTCTTGAAATGTATTCGGTGGAAAGGATACTAGAAATGAAGAAATTCAAGTATAACGATCGAAAAGATCTTGCTTTTCAATTAATAGCTCATGTACCAGACACAGCCAACGAATGGGATTTCTTTCCAGTCGTAAGTACATCCCCACAGCATCAGCGCTTGACTTACAAGGAATCCAAACTGACATCTATTGTATGGATTTTGGGAGGGTTGTGTAGGATCGTTGGGAGGAAAAAACCACGAATGCAATGCTGATTGGGAAAGTAGATGCAGGATATTATCCTATAAGATTAACTATCAATGAAGCTATCAAACACCACCAAACATTCATAACCAAACTAATCTCACCACGTAAATTCATTATTCCTTTTCTAAATCCGATCTCCCCCCCAAGAAAACTCAATTCTGATTTAGATTTTGTTTTTTTCCCAAACGAAGCTCCATTTGTTAAACCCTTCAATCATTTTATAAAATCAAGACCTAAAACATTAAATTGGAATTCATCTAGACATTCATATCAAAGAGAGATTTTAAGATCGTTTGCTCATTCGATTCGTTCTACAAAGATATGTATCTTTGATGGTTCAATTGAAGAAAAAGCCATCAGGAAATTTGCCCAAGTGATGCTTTCTGGGTTAGTAACAATACTCTATTTCTTTATATTCTTCTTTATGGTGTTAGAATTGATTTTGATTCTTGTTTCTTTTTGATTTTGTATAAGATGTGTGATTGCTAGTAATTTGGTAACTGAACATGATTCATTTTTGAAAGGAAATATAATCCAATTAGGACTTTATGATTCAATAGAAGTGAATACACATTTCTCCTTTATCCATTCCCTTTTCAAATATCCTTGCGACTTCCAATTTGCATACATATCTCATAAACAGAAACCGATTCCTAATTTACTTCATCTTTTTTGCTTTTGTTTTGTTGCATTTCAACAAAAGGTAATCAATGAGAAAATTCACAACGCATTACAAAATGAGACTGAATTACAAAGAAAAGCCAGTAATTGTTTATCATATGCTCGAAAACAATTAACAGGATTAAAAGAACTAGACATTATCATCAATTTATCAAACCGGTAAGCCCCCTTACCCTCAATCTTTGGCACAATACTAACCCACTTGAAATTTTCTAGGTATAGATCAGGTCAAAGAGGGTATATTTTCCCTTACGGTTTTACATCCAAATGTAGACGATATCATCAATCAGATACAGATCGATTTTTTAAATCAAAAGAGATCCAATTTGTACCTCCTTGGTGTAGAATTGATGAAAGGTTAAAGGGGTTTGGTAATCCTATTCCGGGTTGGATTCAACCAGGTGAATATCATTGGAATGGTCCTACTCCTCCTTAACTTAACTTGTATTTAAAACCCTTTTTTTCCTTCTTTTTTTGTATTTTTCTATCCCTTTTGTCAAATTCAATTTGTCTGACTACAAAAGCTATTTAAATATAAAGTGAAACCATCATATTATTGTATCTTCAAAATAAAAAAAAATGAACTATTGATACTTATGAAGATATTCAAAAGAACAATATTTGCCTATGCAATTAGCTTGTTACAGGAAGGCTATCATTTCAATTGTTGTCGGCTTCAGGTAATTTCCTTGGCCGGCCTGCCTTACGCTTCGTAATATTGTGTTGCGTCTTCAGCTCGTTCCTTGGCTGACCTCGCCGGCGCTTCTTGATATTGTTCCGGCTGATTCACTTGGCCGGGGCTTCTTTACCGCGTTCCCGCCTTCGGCTGATTCCTTTGGACGGCGCTTCTTTACAGCGTTCCCGTCTTGGGTTATTTTCTTTGGCCGGCCTCGCCCGCGCTTCATGAGTGGTGGAGAGCTGCTGTCGTCATCTTTTTGCACCTGTTGCATTTATGAATCAAAAAAAACCAATTCAGATCAAGAGAAAGAATAAAAATCAAGAAAGGCTACGAATTTACATCATGTATGGCTTGTGTAGTCCTCGGCCCACCATGCCCACACTTCTGGCCTGATTGAGCTTTTGCCTCGCCAATTATATAATGAATAGGAACAGGGTCGGACTTGAGTTGATCATTGAAAATCTGGAATTGCGATCGATAGAATTCACTTTGTGACTTCATCTGTGGCATTTATAAATCCACAGAAAAACGATTCAAAGTTCAGGTCAGTTCCAGGCGTGACCAAGTCATGGGGGAAACATAAGTCTTCAGTTGAAAAGGGTCAGAACAGCATTAACTTGTGTGCCTCGCTTTGCATGTGTTCTTCTGGCGTTTCAAGCAGCTTCATCTTTGATTGACATAGGAAACAAGTACGACCAAATATGAATTTCGTTGGGTCTAAATCAAGAAATTCGTCATTTCCAGAAACGGAGGTTGTCATTTCAGCAGTATTGACTTCTTGAGTATTCACTTCTCGAATCTTTGCAGATGATAGTCGTAGTCGAATTAAGGTAGGTGAGCTGCTGGATGAGGTTGTCACTTTACCTGGATTGATGACAATTGGACGTATAAATCATGTTAGTGATCACTTCATATCAGGGTGACAACCACAGAAGAAGAAAAAGGAAATACTTGGATTAGCTGTATCAACAGTTTTGACAGTGTGCAAGTTTTTGGTGAGTTGATTATTGAGAGTCTCCATTGATTTTGGCTCATTGTTTTTGAGGATATTTCCATTAGCTGTATCGACAGTTTTGACAATGTGCAAGTTTTTGGTGAGTTGATTATTGGGAGTCTCCATTGATTTTCGCTGATTGTTTTTGAGGATATTTCTATTAAGGCTATAATTCACTTTGATAATGAAATCGGATCCTTCAGGAGCTGAACCATCAGGATACTTCCAAGGAATACTAGGGAAAAACCGATCGATAAAACTCTGAGCATGCTCTAGACTATGGAAGAGAGCAAAACCATAGCATTTGCTTAAGCCAGTCGTGTGATCATATATAATTCTGGTGGATTGTACTTGAAAACCAAGTGATGCCAAAAGTTTCTTCAAATCATCTGCATCAGCCCGAATCGGTAAGCATTTGAAGTGTACTGAGATAGAAGGTGGTAGTAGTTTGATTTCTTTCGATTCATCTGTAGAGGCTGGTACTGGAGCAGACATGAATGTAAAAGTTTGATAGCCACAGAAGTTGTAAAAGTTGTGAATTCAGAGATTGAGTTAGGTCCAAGTTGAATAGATAATGAGCTGGATATAATCGTTTGAGTATTTGATGATGATAAAGTTGAAGATCAAAATGTTTATCAAATAATTTTTCTAGACTAACTTTTGGGATGACAGTGGATTGTAGGATTTTGAGGATATCGAGAAAAGATCAAAATCAAGTTCAAGTTGAAATTTGAATTTCTAAATACAACTAAACAAGACTTCAAAGCCGAGAGGAATCAAAGCCGTGATGAATCAAAGCCGTGATCAAAGAAAATCAAAGCCTTGATAAATGGAAAATCAAACCCGAGAAAAAAGAAAATAAATATAAGGTGAAACCATCATATCATTGTATCTTCAAAATAAAAAAAAAGAACTCCAATTTGATGAAATTGTATTAGGGGGGTTCAAGTTAAGATTTGCGGACACCCCCGTCGCAGTGTTGCGACCTGAAATTTCAGAGGTTTCCAAACCTCAAATTCGGTGTTCGCTATTCTCCGGAGGCTTTAAATTTGAGTTTTACGGTCTTGAAAACCAGGTCAACCCGCTCGATACCGTCTTTTTTTTGGCACAAATCATGCCACGGCACTTGTGGATATTTTTTTTGTGAGTTCTAACGAGTCTTTTTTTGATCATGGAACTTTTTTTCTCGGTATTCGTTCCGATTGATCACCCACAAGCCTCAGTTTTTCGCGAGATTAACCCGTTTATTTTCCTCCTGCGCCATCTCGTACCCTCCTCATACATCATGCCACGGGTCTCCGACAGAACCACGGTGATCAGAGACCTCACCACATTATGCCTTTTCGCTCACATGAACTCGACGGTTTCGATTCCTGGAATGACCGGACGGCAACTCGACCCCAGCGACGGCCACCTTTTTTTCCGGAACGACCGTTTTATGGCGAACCTATACGATGGAATCTTTGATGACGAAGAAGAGTGGGGTGACATGCTGACACATGTCACCTCTTCTCGTTACCTTCACCAGCGAGTCCATATCCCTTCAGCGATTCCGTTCGATCTACGCGACATGCTGCGTTCGAGAAGGACAGAGTTCCGACAAGCCATGCGAACCACCCCCGAAGGGTTCAATGCCCTGCTTGAAATGATCAAATTGGACCCGAGTTTCATATCGACCAGCAACAACCGTCAACCTCCTGTAGCAAAGCAACTAGCAATTACTCTCGAACGTCTAGGAAGCAATGGGAATGCGGCTTCAGTCGGCAGATTTGCTAGAAATTACAAGGTCTCTCGCGGAACAGTCATCAACTGCACTCGAAGAGTGATATCCGCAATACTGGATGTTGGTTCCCATTACCTGAAGTGGCCGGACTCAAACAGACGCCAGGCCATCAGCACTGTCATGTCAAACGAAGGGTTTCCTGGCTGTGTCGGATTCGTCGATGGCACCACAATTCCGCTGTATCAGAGACCCGGTCAAGACGGCGAGGTCTTTTTCGATCGCAAACATCGATATTCCCTGAATGTTCAGGTAATATGCGACTGTGATAGGCGAATCACGTATGTGTACGCTGGCTGGCCCGGCTCATGCTGTGACAGCACGGTTTACTCGAAAACTGACATAGCAACAAACCCCGATAAGTATTTTGATGAAGGTATGTTATAATCTCCATCTCTCGTTGGAACCCTACGATAACTGTGATTTGACCGATGTGTGACTCAGGCCAATATCTCCTGGCGGACTCTGCATATGTTGCCTCAGAAACTGTCGTGCCCTCGTACAAAGGGCAGGCAGCTGAGGTCGAACGCAACCGCGACTTCAACTGGTATATCGCCAAATCACGGGTTCGAAATGAACATGCAATTGGTGTGTGTAAACTACGATGGGGGTCTTTGCAAGCATTACGATTAGTGTTGAATGAAAGGGGTGATATGTATCACATATTAAGATGGATCCAGTGTTGTGTCATTCTCAATAATATGCTAGCTGACCTTGAAATGATGAGAGACGCGGAAGAAATTCAACGCGTGTAACCTGGACAGACAGGTTATAGATGAGTTGTAAGACTCAAAGAAAGATTCACGAAAGACTGGCGGAGAAAGTCGACGCCTTACCTGGACAGACAGGTTATAGATGAGTTGTAAGACTCAAAGAAAGATTCACGAAAGACTGGCGGAGAAAGTCGATGCCTTACCTGCGAGTGAGCAGGAGGAAAGAGTGGTAGGGAGGTCTATCGTGACACATGAGCACTCATCCAAGAAGTGAAATATGAAAAGAGAAAAAATAGAAAATAAGGTGCGTACTCTAAGCTTCCAAGTTCCACACGATGAGGGGGGAACAAGGAGCTTGAGAGACCCTGGGTATATAAGAGAGAAACTGAATCGCACACAATTTTCACCCTGAAGCAAGGGGATACACAGATACAGACTAGACACGCGTACACAACCATTTTGATAAAGCCCACACACAAATAATGTTCCCAAAAGGGAAACATTCTACACGACTTGAAGATACCTGAATTCAGACCTAATACTGTAGCGTTTGATTTCCTAATCGGGATGGACTTGACTACCTTAGACAGTATCATAACACGCCCCCTCAAGTTCATCACGGGATAGGTTTGAGTCCTAAGATTTTGCGAAGGTGAGTAAATTGAGCAGAACCTAGGGACTTTGTTAGAAGATCAGCTGTCATGAGATGAGTAGGGCAGTGTTGAACAGTTAGCTTTCCAGCTTTTACCACTTCTCTGATCCAGTGGTAGTGGATTTCAACATGCTTTGTTCTTGCATGAAAGATTGATTTGTTGGTTAAGTGAATCGCACCCATGTTGTCACTCTTGAGGATTGTTGGATCTGAGTCTTCATAACCGAGTTTTGTCAGCATAGTTCTTAGCCACAGGAGCTCTTGACCGGCTTCAGTAATGGCACGATACTCTGCCTCAGTCGATGATAATGCCACAGTGGGTTGAAGTTTGCTACACCAGGATACTGCACCACCTGCCAAGATGAATAAATAGCCTGTGGTTGACCTGCGAGTATCTTTGTCCCCTGCCCAGTCTGCATCACACAAGGCCTGAGGACAGTGCTGACTCTTGAGACCTTTGACCGGTTCGTTTGGTGATTCTCCAGAATAGCGAATACCGTAGTTGACGGTTCCCACAAGGTAACGAAGAACATGGTTTGCAGCATTCCAGTGCTGAAATCCCGGCCAGTCAAGATGCTGAGAAAGCACACCTACTGCGTAGGCCAGGTCGGGTCTGGT